TCACAGCAGCTGGTCCAGCTGGGCTGACCCTCCAGGCTCTGCACTGACCTCCTTGGGCTTCTTCCTCTCGGGTGGGTGGGTCCCTGGAGAAGGCTTTTCTGTTTTCTCTCTGGAGGGGCTTGGTCAGGAGCTGCGACTGGGAGGCTGCCCTGCACATTCGCTATGTAAACGTCACCTTAATTGCTTGTTCTCTAATGTGTTGGTGTTAGAGACCCCCTCCCCCTAGATTTACCCTCGGCTCCTGCCAGGGCTGGGGGTCTAAATCCTCCTAAAGGAATGATCCACAGTCCTGTTTCCAACCACCGCGATGACCGCGCCCCCGTCCCTGGGTCACTTGGGTGGGTCCTCTGCCGGTGGAGTCAGGTCCCTCTCGTTGCTCCCGGCTCCCAAGTGTACTGCTATCGTGGCCTCTCCGGTTCCTGTGGGCCTTGTGGCCTTTTGAACATTCCTTTACTGCTGTAGGAGCGGGCTTCAGAAAGGAAAGAGAGTAAATGCACGTGTTCAGGCTGCCACCTTCATCTGAAAGTCCAACAAACATTTTGGAGTCCCTCCTATGAGCAAGGTTGACACTGGCAGGTGACCAGGAGTCCAGAGGTGGGTGGCTCCAGGCTCGGTGAGAGGGGAAGCTCCCCCTGCCCCCCAGGGCTGGGCTTTCTGTGTCTGCTCTGTATCCCCACGGGCAGCCTGTCATCGGGCGGCTCCCGCTGCAGGACAGCTGCCTGTCGCCACCGGGCTGTATGTATCCTGCCTCTCCACCCTCTTCTCTAACGCTGGCTGTGTAACCCTTTGTGCATGGAGGATCAGAGCAGGGTGTCTTAACCCACCTTGCCTGGGTTCAAATCCCGGCTCTGCCACTTTCTAGATGACTGAGTAGCTTGGCAAAGTTACTTTGCTTCTATTTTACTTCATTTTCCTCATCTTTAAAAATGAAGTAATAGTAGTATCTGCCTCTTAGGATTTTACGAGAATTCAATGTATGGCACATAGAACAATGTCTGATATGGAAGCTACTTCAGTGGTCAGAGATATGATGATGATGATGATGATGATGGTGATGGTGGTGGTGATGGTGATGATGATGGTGGTGGTGGTGGTGGTGGTGGTGATGGTGATGGTGGTGATGATGGTGATGATGATGGTGATGGTGGTGGTGGTGGTGATGATGATGATGATGATGATGGTGATGGTGGTGGTGATGGTGGTGATGATGATGGTAATGGTGGTGGTGGTGGTGATGGTGATGGTGATGTTGGTGGTGATGGTGATAATGGTGGTGGTAGTGGTGGTGGTGGTAATAAGCCCACAGGCTCCTTTAGGGTAAGAGCTGTGTTCTACTTGCCTTTGGAGTCCCTGTAACAGGGCTAAGCCACTGCCTTGCATGTCACAGAGCACCCACGGGCACAGGGGAACTTAGCTACACTGAATGGCAATGTCCGTCAGCCTAAAACTCAAGTGAGTTTGTAGGAAAGGACGCAGGTGCACCTGCTCTCCGGGAAAGGGGCATCTGTGTGTCTCCGACATCACCAGAACCGAGGAGCCCCACTCCCTCCTGGGAAAACTGCTCTGGACGCTGCTCTGAGGACACAGAGAGTTCATGTGAGGGAGCCTGCCTCGCACAGGACGGTTCTGCTGGACAATCCAAGACAACGTTGTACTCATTTCCCACGGCTGATGTGACAAAGTACCACACACTAGGTGGCTTAAAACACCAGGAATGTATTGTCGCTCAGTTCTGGAGGCCAGAAGCCCACAGTCAAGGTGTCAGCAGGGCCATGCTCCCTCTGAAACCTGGTGGCTCCTTCCGGCTTCTGGCGGTGTGCTGGCAATCTCGGGGGTTCCTTGGCTCGCAGATGGATCACTCCCATCTCTGCCTTCATTGTCACATGGCCGTCTCCAATGGGATCTTCGTCTTCATGTGACTGTCTTCTTATAAGGACACCAGTCACATTGGGTTAGGAGACCACCCTACCCTGTATGCCCACATCTTAACTAATACCTGCAATGTCCATATTTCCAAATAAAGTCATATTCTGAGGTTCTGGGGGATGAGGACTTCAACATATCTCTTTGGGGGATACAATTCAAGCCATAAACAAATGTCTAACTCAGCAATCCTTCCTTCAGTGCAATGGCCTTTATTGGGGTGCAGTTTACTTATGTTTATGAATGTATATGACTTCGCCTAATGTTAGAGGAACAACTGAAAAACAAGCTGGCTTCCAAGCCCCGACAAATCTCCCATCACCCGCACACCCACAGTCCCCAAGAGCCTCACAGCAGAGTCTCTGAGCTGTCAGGGCCACAACCTGGCAAGCATAATCTTGACTGTTCAAAACTATCCAATGTAGAGTTTGGTAATTTTTAAGTTTTTAAGAGGCTTTGCTAAATGCATGTGTGGTTTGGATCAGGAAGTTGTGGGTTTATGCATAATCAAGGAACTTTCAACATTAAAAATTCAGAATTGGTGAGCACTGAAAAATCTATGGCCTGAGATTTGCAGAATCACTCTGTCCCCCCTCCCGTGCCCCAGTCCCCTTCCCCCACTCCCACCCCCAAGGCCAGATACATCCCCATCTCCGATCACCTCCAGTCTTTCCAGAACCCAGGCCAGAGCTCTGGGTCACCTTTTCCAGCCTCCCTCCTAAGGCTGGAGTGGAAGGGAAGGTTAACATCCACAGAGAGAGAAAGATTTGATCAAGAAGTTCCGACTGGCTTTCTATTTATAAAGCTAATTGTTGGTCTAAGGAAAGTCTTGAAGACCTGGGCTCTATTCCCAACCATGGGACTTAAGAAACTCTCCGTTTCACCTTAACCCTTCTGTGCTGGAGGTGGCAGGTCGTCTGAGGAGCTTGAAGAGGAGAGTGACTTGCGCCCAAAGCACAATGTGTTTCTGTCGAATTCGCCTCACCTCGCCCAAGGTGCTTGGTCCTCGAGGGACCGTGTAAGAGCTTTCACTGGACCCTATGGCAAACCCGACAGAGGTTTCATGTGTGAGCAACCAACATGTGTCCTTGGGCAACACACGTGGCTGCTCTGAGTCTGTTTCCTCCTCTATAACCTAGAGATGACACTCACCAACCCCCTGCAAGGGGAGATGTGAGGACCAAATGAGACAGCTGCTGGGACAGCCTGCAGCAAAGTGTCCGGCACGTAGTAGGTGTCTGATAAATGTTTAGCTCATGGCAAAAAAGGAGCACAGGTCCCCTGAGTGTTCAACTTGGTCAAGTCAAGAAGTCTCCAGTTTTTTTCCAGATGTGCTTGGCTAAGCAGAGGCTACAAAACCCTTGGCCCCCAGAAGTGGCAGACCCCTCACCCATCACGGGTGTGGCCAGTGTCCACAGACTGGGCCCATTACATGGACTCCAGTTTGGGGTGGGGAGTGGACTCAAGGTGAGCAGACCAGCCGTCAAAGGATTTCAACTGAGCTCCCCTTTGGGACTGCAGGAGGCCGCGTCTAGGGAGGTGGGCCCACACCCCAGCGCCTGTCTGTGTAGCCCTAAGAGGCAGAAATTATCATCTAGCTTGGCAGATGAGGAAACTGAGGCTCACACAAGTTCAAAAACCCGATAACCCGGGGTTTGGGTTAACCTGACTCCAGACCCATCAGGCTGCCTCAGCCCCAGTCCTGTGACTGTTCAAGGGCAGGGGTGTTCCCAGTGCCCAGCGCTGTGTCTGGACTATGTGGGCACCCCACCAATGTTTGTGCAAGGAGAGGGCGAGGGAACAGATGTGGGAGAGCAGTGCACTAAAGGCTGGCCCTGGGCCCACACGGCAGCACCCTGGAGAGCACCCAGCCTGGTCCACAAGCTCCCCTCTTCTGACAGGAGATGAGGTACCCAGGGAGCACCCAGGAGACCCTCAGAGGACTGGGGGGCGGGGGGCCTCACAGCGGATCCTAAAACACCTGTGGGCAAGTCCATAGGCCCCAGATGCTGAGCCCCCAGGGACCACAGGCATGGAGGGAGGGGCTGATGCTGGGTGGAGCCGCTGGAGGAGGCAGTGCCAGAGGGAGCATGAGACACAGAGACAGGCCAGGTAGGGAGCCAGACCAGGACACGGAGACAAGGTTGGGCAGAAAGTAAGGCACTAAGCAGGGAGTGGGCTCCCCAGGGGCTGGAAGACCCGGTGTCTCAAGAGAGATGCTGGGCTATTTCCTGCCTCACAGGTGGTTTGCCCAGCCACAGCTGGGAGTAGGAAGCAGAGGTAAGCCCCAAGCATTGAAGGAGATTGCACCACCCTGAAATGACCCTAACCATTGGGGGTTAGAATTAGCTTGGGACAGACCCTGCAGAAATCTTACAAATGAATGAATGAAGAAATACAGGCAAGAGGAGTGAACAACTACAGGAAATACGGTAGGCAGGAGGGAAGCGGAGAGGGGAGGGCCACGGGCAAATCCAGCAATGCTACCACCTGGAGACTATTTCAGAGAGAGGGGTTTGCCCACCGAGATCCCGCTCAGCTCTCCTCAGCCTGCAGCTCCGCGGCAGCGGCTCTCTGCTCCAAGAGCCAACATCTTTGCCTCCTTTGTCCCAAATCACCACCCAGGCACCGGCCTTCCCCTCCAGAGTCTGCACCCCTTGTTCACCAGCCTTCGGGCCAAACACTGACATGTAGATCCCCACCTCCCCCTCCTCCACAAGGCACTTGCCCTGCCAGGTGCTGGTTATGGTCTGCACACCCCACCCCCCACCACCACCACCACTGCCCACTTTCCTCACTGACCTGGCCTAGGTCTAACCCCCCTGCAACACCACTGCTTTTCCAAGAACAAACCCACTGTCTCGCTCTGTGCTTTAAATCTCTCTATGGCTCCTTCAGACAAAGTTCAAACTCTTTGGCTCGGTCCTCCATCATCCCTCCTACCCGCCCCCCCCCCCCACCCACCCCTTCCTTTTTTTTTCCCCCCCCCCCCATTCCTGGTGTTCATGAGTTCAGTTCCCCACAAGGGACAGGCTGGCTTTGGTCCCCTGGCCCCTGACCATGTCACTCCTTGCACCTGGCAGCCCTCCTCCTCCTCCCCAGTCTCCTGAGAGGCCACCTACCCCAGGAAGCTCTCCTTTCTGACTGGCCCTCACTAAGGGCTGGGTGAGCCGGACTCTGGGCTTCCCCGGGTACCGCTGCCCAGGCCTCACCCTGGAACTGGGGTGTCGGGACTGTGAGAAGCCTCCTGAAGACAGGTCCTCGGTCCTGCCCACTCCGGCGTCTCCACGGCACACGGCACCAGTGGCCAACACAAGTTTTCTAGAACTCATGAACATGGAATCTGTTTTCCACCTGGCTCACTGCCCCTGGGCCAGCCAGGGTCCTCCACCTATCCCTCCCGAGTGGCCCGTCCCCACCAGGTGCCCCCCTGACACTGGCAACACCTCTGGGGTCTACAGCTTTCCTCACTTTGCCCAAAGCATTTCCACGGCCACCGACAGTAAAGCATCCCTCCTGCCCCTCAGGCGAGGACCAGACGCTCAGGAGGAAAGTGAGGCTCGGGGTGTGGAGCCTGCTCCCAAGGTCAGAGTGAGTGAGCGGCAGAGACAGGGTCCAGGCTGTACCTATGGGTGGTCCCCAGTTACCCCCTCTCCCCCCAGCGTGTCATCTAATTGCCCCAAGCCAACCCCACGTTTTCCAGAGTCCCGCTCGCCCCCCCACCCCCACCCCCTTCCGGGGCACCGGCCAAGGTGACTCTCCCCGCCTTCCCGGTCCCCGGTCCCCGGTCCCGGGTCAGGGCATGGAGGCCGCTGCACCTTACCCTCCAAGGCCCCCTTCCAGCTGCTGCTGCCCTCGT